GGACTCAGGTGCTCAGGACTCTTCCACTGACCCCGGGCAAAACTGGGTTCAGCTCCCAGTGCTGTGGGACAGGTTGCTGGATCTGCTGTAGTGACGGTCCATGAGCATCTCCTCCCCGTAACAGGGGGTAACCTTCTCATAATGCCTGGAACCTGTGACGGTGGCCTTGTTTGACAAAAGGCCTTGGCAGATGGATGGATGAAGGACCTTGAGATGAGAAGCTCATCTGGCTACCCAGGTGGGCCCTGAAGCCAGTGGCTGGTACCCGGCAGGAGCCAGAGGAGACATGCAGAGGAAGGTCAAGTGGGAAGAGGCAGAGTGATGTGGCCACAGAACCCCCGGAGCGCCTGGAGCCGCCAGAACTCCAAGGACTGGGGGGAGGGGGCACCGCTGCAGCCTTGGTGGGGAATGTGGCCTTGATGACCCTTCATTTTTTGGAAAGGCACCAGGGATTGAACTCAGGGGCACTCGATCACTGAGCCACTTCCCAGTCCTATTCTGTATTTTATTTAGAGATAGGGTCTCACTGAGTTGCTTAGAGCCTCGCTTTTCCTGAGGCTGGCTTTGAACTCGCAATCCTCCTGCCTCAGCCTCTAGAGCCTCAGGGATCACAGGCATGTGCACCACCATGACTGGGGGATACTTCCATTTTTTGACTGGTTACCAGAACTGCGAGAGAATAAGTTTCTAAGACATGAACTTTGAGGCAACTTGTTGCTGTGGAGATAGCTTCCCCTCACCTCCTGGCCTTGGCCTTGGCCTTGGGCAGTGCCATGCCCACCTTGCCCGGGTTGCTCTGAACACAGGTGGCACAGGCTTGGTGGGGCTGGAGGAAGGAGGAGTGTTCTGCACACCTCCAGCCCACACCCCTCAGGCCTACCCTGACTTGCAAGCAGCCTGGCCTCAGTGAGCTGCTAACTGCTGGGAGCCTGGGCTTCCTCACTGGTACAGAGGGGTCATAACCCCCCCCCTCTAGGGTGCTCTAAGGCAGCAGTTCCCAAGCTCTCTGGTGTCAGGACTCCTTTATGCTCCTGAAAACTGTTGAAGAGGCTGGAGGGGCGCTCAGAGGTCCTGTACCAAACAAACAAACAAACAAAAAATCAAACTGAAGGCCCTAAAAAGCTTTTGTTAGGTAGATTATACATAAAGTATATAATACATATATATATATGTGTGTGTGTGTGTGTGTGTGTGTGTGTGTGTAATATATATACATTTGTTCAAGGGATTGAATCCAGGGGCGCTCTACCACTGCACTACATCCCGGCCCTTTGATTTTGTATTTTGACAGGGTCTCACTAAATTGCTGAGGCTGGCCTCAAGCTTGTGAATCTCCTGCCTCAGCCTCCTGATTTGCTGTGATTATAGGCAGGCGCCACCATGTGCAGCATGTTTTATGTTTTCTACAAGACTGTACCAGGTCCAGCTCATCAGGAGGGCACTGGACCCTTGGGTCTGCTCTGGCATCCTGTCTGCTGGGCTCTGTTTGGTATTTATCTACATGAAGAACATCCAGCCTCAGGCAGTTATCTGCTGGGAAAGGGACAACTTCATTGAGACCTTTGGCTACTGTGGACCCCTGGCAGGCCTTGAGCCACAATGAGAACCCATAGAATAAGGATTTAACAAGGTGACATCTGTATAGCACAGAATAATGCTTGGCACATGGTAAATATTATATATATATATATATATATATATATATATA